GGAATGCCAGACAACAACAGTGTCATCCTGCCCCCAAATTGGGCACAGTGGTGTAGATGACTTTTGCTGACTCATGTTGTCAGGTAGTTCCTTTCTTCTCCTCCTCAAGATGTAACAGAGGTCAGAGCACAGAGACTCATGGAATGCAGGGGAAAAATAAAACCAGCCTTGGTCAGAAGAAAATCTACCTTAAGTTGTGTTAAATAGTAATAAAGGCAAGACTCATTGGAGTACAGATCTGGGTTCAAATGGGTGCAGATTACCTCAGCCTGCAGCTGTTTGGACTTACCAATGATTTACAAATGGAGCTTTGCCTATTTCTGCAAGTTATAATTGGCTTCATCCCCACAAACCCAAGGCCTGGGCAGAAGTGATTGCATGAAACCAGCAGCTTTCAGAAAGGAAAATTAATTCCTTCTGAAAATCTCAAATCCAGATCCACTCTAATGGCTCAGATACCACAGAGAAACATCATTTGATTTCCTGTTTTATTTTTTTCCAGTTAGCCACATGGTCTGGAAGGCCTGAGTTCTAAGCTTGGAGAGACTCAGACTGGGAGGGATTCTGCAGAAACTGTCATCAAGTAACTGTCTCAAAATGCCAAAAACTTTCCAAGCTAATTCTCTCACACCTTCAGCAACACGCTCTGTTGTGTGCTTTTACCCTCTTTGCCAAGATGAAGAGGAAAGGGAGAAGCCCTGCAGAAGGAAGGTGGGGAGATAAAGGACAGCATTGGCAAAAGGAATTAGAGATAAATAACATACAAATAAACTCTGCCTAGAAACCAGAATCCTTCTAATCAGAGCAGTGCAGTCCTGGAGCAGGTTTTGGACAAGGTAATGGGAACAAAGACAAAATCAAAAGAAAATAACTACTTTTCAAGCGGGTAAGTTTATGACTACAGTCTTAAAACACAGCTGTCCCCAAAACGATTGAGGAGAAGCTTCCACCCTTACGCAGTTAATCCAAGTTTATATAATCCTAAAGATTTTCACAGAAAATGTCACTCAGCAGTTTCAGCAGCTCTTTCATCAGCCACTCCCTCCAGCCCAGGACAAACCGATCCCAGCTGAGCACATCCAGGCAAAGGAAGAGGTAATGGATCCCACTGACACCACAGCAAACTGCACCTCAGGCACCTGCCCTGGGACAGGCACTTCAGGCCAAGCAGCTTTCAGTTTCCTCCACACTTTTGTCTTGTCATTCAACTCCAACTTCTCCTCGTGAGAACAGAATAATCACCTCGAATTTTCAGTCAGCTTCAAAAAAAAGAAAAAGAAAACCCAAACCAACCCAACAAAATACAACTTTTGGGCAATGTTAAATGTGACCATGTTAGGTAGGGGATGTGACGCAGTCAGATTCTCCAGAACAGAAACTTTACTCAGTCTTGTACCCTCCCAAGCCCAAGTTCAGCACAAATACAAACATCAGCCACAAACCACAGCTGAGAAATAGGCACTTCTCTGTGCCAACATTTGCTCATTTGCTTTATTGCATATGTCCAAGTCTACCACCAGCTTCAAATGTCAACATTAACCATCTGACTGCCAATAACTTCAACAGATGCAATGTAAAAAGAGGCGAAAATAAATCCTTTCTGCGAAATGGAAACAGAACAGTAATGCAGAAGGAAGGAAGTGGGGGAAGAAGACACTGGTTAGGAAAATATAATCACAGTGATGACCATATGTTCCTACTGACTGATGAGAGTGACAGTGAGGCACCGAATGCATTCAAATAAATAAAGTGTTAGCTATTTTCCGTTAGCAGGCAGACACCAAATCTGGGGGCTGTAAATTCATGCTAGAAAACCCAGTCTGGGGGGTTAACTAGGTTACAGTGGAGCTAATTAGCCATTAAAGCAGTTTGCTATGGACAGGACTGGCTCCCCAAGTGTCTTTGCAGTGGATAGATGTGTCTGTGCCAAACCACCTCCAGCTGACGTATACCCATTTACAACATCCTCTGCTCTGTGCTAGGCAAGAGATCAGCTTGGACAACTCTGACAGCCCCGTGGCACCGAGTGTGTACTCCAGGTAACCAGGAGAACACAGGCTGTGCATGTCTAGTTAGACCTTTCCTTGTGAAAATCAGTTATTCTGGAAGCTACAAAGAGAGTGCAGCAGTCAATGAGCTGTTGTGACAGGACAGGCAGAAGAACTGTCCCTCCTGCCCTTTGTGCAGCTGCACCCTTTGGCTTGCACTGACTCAGGACTTGTGCAATAAACTACTCTGGAACTGCGACAGGGATTAAAACTAACGCAGAGTTTTTGAAACTGTTTTAGTGCAGGTCATTTTCCCACACTGGCTGCACACATAATCACTCACAATGGCACATGATGGGGATGCACAGGGGAGTCAGGGAGGAGCAAATATTCAGCAGCAGGGCCAGTTCCTGGTGTCCTTAAGTGCTTCTGAAGTGACCACCTAAGGGACAAGTCAGGTGCAGCCTAAGGGCTCAACACCAAACTGAACACATCCTCATCCTCTGGGCTTGATTGCCTCCCTGGCACCTCTTAACATGACGAACTGTCTCTGAGCCAAACCAATGCAACTCACTACAGCAGCACAACAAAGTTCAGGAGAAAAGAAGTTGATAGTTTTCTGTCCAGGACATGAGTTAATCACCTTACTGTGGGATCAGGTGAGTGTTAGGGAAAGGAGGAAAAAGGAGCATGGATGACCAGTGACAGCAACAATCACTTAGGTTAGCTCCACCACGTGCAGTTTAGTCCTGCATACAGGGATCAAAAAGAGGACCAGGCTGAGGATCATCCCAACCTTTGTAGGATGGGTACATCCTGCTAATGCCACACCCAGCACAGACTGCAAACAAGGAATTGCAAAAAACTGAGCAATCTCCATATGATCTTGGTGCCTGTAGGCTTAGGAGTGCCTGTGCCTGCTCTCAAACTCCCTTTCATCCCCCACTACACCACTGCCCTGACGGTCACTCCCACTCCAGAGCGTACAAGCTGACTTTTGCCACTACATTTCCCAAACCCACCCCATGGTACAGTTTCAAGGGACTCATTCCCACACTATTTTAACCCACTCCTTGCTTTTAATCTCTTCTCCAGAGCTGTTAGCACAACAGTGGCTCAGGGCCAGGAAGGGAGAAGCCGTTGCTCCCGAACGGTGGGACAGAGCCAGCACAATTACCAACGTGGTACTACTTCCACATGCCTTTTTCTTCCCTGTGATTAAATTTGGGGAAAGACTTTCCGCTGGTGTAAATTAGTGCTGCTGAATGCAGACTCCAGAGCCAGGTTTACATTGGCTGAGGTTCCAACTTGCCCTTTGTATTCATACAAGAGTCAACAAGACCAGAAAATACCTTCAAAGCTCCTGGGAGCACAAAACCACTCAAGAGTGTACCAAAGAGTTTCCTAAACCGACCCAGTAAATCGCTGACATGGTATTGTGAAGGTGTAAACACATATTTTTCCTTTCAACTATGCTAAATGCCAAAGTATGATAAGGATTTTCCTCTGCTTAGGACTTGGAGATCTAACACACCTCAAAAAATGAAAAATAGGACTGTTTGCTCCATGCAACAATGCCCAAAGTATTTGAGTCAGCCTGAGCACACTGGGGAAATGTTCTTCTCATGCTGGGAGGTGGAAGGCAACTCTGCCATGAGCACTGGGGTTCAGGGCTGATGTGAACAGAGCAAGAAACTCCCCCCAGCTTTGTCCATCTGTGTTGCTGCTCTGTGGCCATGCAATAGTCAGCAGACCAAGTTATAGGAAGGACTCAACTCCCAGCCTTGGCTTACCCCGAGGGGTACCAGAATGGTCTGTTGGCACAGTGATTCCAACACACAAATGCTGTGACCACTGAGAGAACAGGCAGCACCTGGCAGCTCAGGAAACTCCCACTCCTTCCTGGAGCATCCACGAGTGAGTCACATGCAAACACCTGGAGCTCTCAGAGTGAATGGTCTTGTATGGGGCAGATATATAGATGTAGATATAGATATATATATAACCATCTGATTTAGAA